GAAGCATTTCGAAAGTTTATTTTTTAATTAGAAAACAAACCTAACACCGTTTTGATTGATTCCCACTGTTAGTTTGTTTGCCGAACCGATCCGTCTACGCCAGAAATATTTATATCACATTCAAAATATAACATCGCCGATGCCAACGGATTTGCACTAACGTCATAACAGAAGTAATAACGGCCCAACAGCAGCCTACGCTAGTTTGTAATTCTCGTCCGGCGTTTTGCTCCAAGAATTACTCAATCCTAGAAGTATATTTTCGAGATAATAATAAAAAAACCGCCCAAGTGCGAGTCGGACTCGCGCGAGAAGTGTTCCGTACCACTTATTAAAATGGCAAAAAATCATGTTGTTGTATGGTAGCCCCACTTAAATATTTATTTTATTCTGTATTTGTTGTTTTAGCAACAGAAATACATCATCTGTGAAAAGTTCAACCATAGCTATAATGGTTCATGAGATACAGCTTGGTGATAGACGAACAGACAGACAGACAGCGACAGAACAGGCGAACAGATTCTCAGTAATAGGGTCCCGTTTACCCTTTGGGTACAGAACCCTAAAAACAAAGCCGACTTCAAATACACCAATCAATTTACATTTTATATTTGATTTTGATTTTGAAGGCAAAAATAATTTTTAAAATCGGTTTATAAATGATTTCTGAGATAACAAAGTTACTAGTCAAAGTCCTTTTTTTTGTTGAAAAAGTCTGTTGAAATATAAAGTAATAATTACAGTCGCGCTATTTGAAGGCAGAACTATTTTATACAGTAACGGTTTTACACTGGAATATGACGCCACCTTCATTGTATTTCAAGTTGAAGGCGTTCATCGAACACCTTAACACCGATCGAAAGAAATCAGTCGCGCTACAAGTTGAAGGCTACATTTATCGATACTTTAGTACCATCACTAGTCTAGCGCGCCGTCGTTATGCCTATGTCGATAAAATTATTCAGTCGCACCATTTCAAGTTCAAGGCCGCGTGTCGATAAATATCGGCCACACGCTACATTGCAACCGTGCAACGGATATTTCCACTGCGTCATGGCGTGCGGCACATGTGCACGGTTGTCGCTAGTTGCCAATTAATTGTTGGTCGCGCGCACGTGGATTTGTCCCAACATTTGACGCTGCTAACGAACTTGATCCAATAGTCGAATGTCTGGAACCGCTACCACTTTTATTACCTACCACGTTTATCGCTGTTGTAAATTGCTAAGCACGTTTGATCAAATGTTTGTTTCGTTTGTAACTACTTCTACTGCTGCTATATTTATCGCAGCTCCTCATCAATGACCATTATTTTCTGAATTCAATTTATTTTGGGTTTCATAATAAACTTTTTTCACGTTAATTTCGAGGAATACCAGGATATAAGAATATAATAGGCCTCGTAAAACATGAATAATTTGATTGGTATTGGTTTTAAATTATAAATTTTTGTAGATAAATGAACAAAAACTTTAGGTGCTCGTGATTCGAACCTTCGTCTTCTGGTTTCGCGCCTAGACGCCTTACCAACTAAACTAAGCGGCCGATGGCTACTACGTTCGTTTGGCTCGTCTTATATTATCATTTACTTACAGCATACAACATCTTACAAACAACATTCAACGATGTATATTTGTAACGAGAGATGCCGCTGTTGCTTTTAAAAGTTTTTAAGATTATTTTTTATTTTTAGTGCTACTCTCTGCACTTAAAAAGAAACATTAAACTATAAATTTTTGTAGATAAATGAACAAATGTTTCAGCGCTGCGGGATTTGAGTCTGCGTATTCTTGTCTGATTAACTTGTCATCAGATTTTCCTTCATAATTTAACTAAAAATTGAAGGACAAAAATTTTATGTCTTATTTCTTTTTGAAGTGAATTGTGAAAACAAAATGTACGTATTTCCGGAGTCCAATAGGAGTTCTGAGGTAACAAACATAAAAGAAGTAGAACCTAATTTAGAACCATCTTTTTTGTAGTCGGTTAAAAATACGGTTTTAAAATCCAACCAACCTGCCAACATCAAATTTAATGCTTCGTTCTCAGCCCTCAGTTCTTTATAACCGATACACGTTATTCCTATAGCTGTACCGCTTAAAGTTGGACCAGTTATGTATTTTATACAATACAAGCTAGTGATTATGAAAAAATAAAAAGCATTGGCAACATCTCTCGTTCGAATTAGCGTTGTAAAACGATATTCGAAATTGTTTGTATGCAGGAAAGGATGTAACAATGGGTGCGCCTTTGCTTCAAATGCTAAGAAACAATGTAGACAAAAGACGTTAAGATTTTCGTCGATGTGGCAATCACTCGTTTAGCTCAGTGGGTAGAGCGTCAGGCCGCGAATGCCGAAGACGTGGGTTCGATTCCCACAGCGGCGACAGTGTTTTCGTACTTTTTCTACAAATTTTAATACTGAATATGTTACATTTAAACACGACTCATGGATGTTTCATCAATATGACATATTTTATTTCTGCGCCGTACGTGTCAGCTGCTGAAACTCACAATCGAGCCTCAACGTTAGTCAATGCAGATAATACAACGATAAATGAGTCGTGAGAATGATGAATAAAGACCAACGAGGCTTCGTACTGTGCCCGACTGTGGACATAATACAGGGTCGTTTTCTGAATGATTTTATGCTTTTCTTATTACGTCAAAGCGTTCGTGAAACACAGAATATTAATTAAAAACCGGCCAAGTGCGAGTCAGATTCGCGCACGGAGGGTTCCGTACTATTATCTATAAAAACGGCAAAAAAAATTGACTGTTGTGTGGGAGCCCACTTAATATTTTCTATTCTGTCTTTTAGTATTTGTTATAGCGGAAACAGAAATACATCATCTGTAAAAGTTTCAACTGTCTTACTGTCACGGTCCATTAGAAACAGCGTGGTGACAGACGGACGGACAGACAGACAGACAGACACAGAGTCTTAGAAATAATAATCCCTTTTTACCCTTTGGGTACGGAACCCTAAAAAGTAAAGTAAAGTGACAGTCTATATATGTCACACTGCTGGGCAAGGGTGACATTAGGTGACATTAAGGTACAGAAGTTATTAGAGACACTACTAGGTATTGGCAATTTCGAAAATATACAGGTTTCCTCAAGAGATTTCGCTTCATCGCTGCAATTAATAGATTAGAACTTAGTTTGCTCCCGGTATACTAAATTAACAAGGTCCCGGACACTGCACTTATAAACGCGTCATACGTCTTAGCGTCATACAAAATGTTCTAGAAGATTTTAACCATCTATGAATAAAAATTAAAACTAACGAATCTACTTTCGACAATGGTTAAAATAAAGTAAATTGTAACCAGTCCTATTTCCTCCCTACATATAATAGATTGTAATCGTGAATTGCGCGGCAAAAACCTATCTGGCCATGACTTTGGGTTCACTGACCATAGATAAAAAATGTAATAGCCAGTTAGGTTTCTGAATACTTCAGCACGTCAATCTAACAACCCAACGTCACTGATCATTTTTAGTCTGTTCGCAGCCGTAGGTTATAATAATTATTCAAGTGTTAATAACTTGAAATTGTAATAAAAATGGAACTCATGTTTTTTATTTTATATTTTATCAGATCGATTTGTATGATTATTATTTTTATTTAAAAGTCCTGATATGAGTAGACAATATTGTCTAAGAATTTGTCTCGCCACTGTAACGATTCCGTGATGTCGAGACCTTCGCGCGGTCAGGCTGTCGACCTCATCGCTCAGTGGCTAGAGCGTTTGGACGCGTAATCCGGAAGGCCCAGTTTCGAATCCTGCAGCCGTAAAAAAATTTTGACAATTTTGTCGAAACATTAAGTCTCATCTTAGCATAGAAACTAGCACTAAAATTTATAAGACAAATTCTAAAGTGCTCGAACGAAATGTCGACACTTAATTTGCGCGTGTATTTTTATTATGATTTTATCATTGTTTTATTTATACTATAGGTGTTTTAGATTGCACTTTTACTTAAAAATTTAAAGGATTGAGGCTTTAAAATTTAAGAAAACGATACATAGTACTAGTTATATATAAACCAGTTCCATTAAATAAATACGTCCTAGATTTTAGAGAATATGCAGATGCAATTTGTAACTATAAACATTCACTAGTCGTGTGTATCGAACCAGCGTCATTAATTTCACACAACGTGGAATATTTAGAGATGAGGAGACTTGGGTATTGTGAGATTTTTATGATGTGTTATTCCTATTCTCTCATTTTCTTTTCTTCTTTGTTATTGTTACGGTGACAATTTTATACAGCAATTGTTGTCACATTTAAAACTGCACAATTTAAAGTCATCTTTCCGATCGCTCGACCTTCCTTTTCTTTCTATTTTATTGGATAAATTTTAAAGTTTTTTTTTATAGTTAAAGTTCTTTAAAATTTATAAAAAGCAATGGCGACATCTCTAGTTCGTATTATCGTTGTAAAACGATATTCGAAATTGTTTGTATGCTGGAAAGGATATAACAATAGATGCGCCAAGCATTGCTTCAAATGCTAAATAACAATGTAGAAAGAAGGCGTTAAGGTTTTCGTCGCTGTGGCTATCAGCCGTTTAGCTCAGTGGCTAGAGCGTCAGGCTGCGAATGCCGAAGACGTGGGTTCGATTCCCACAGCGGCGACAATCTTTTCGTACTTTTCTACATGTTTTAATGTTCAATCTTAAGTGCAGAGATTAGCACTATAAAAAAAAACTTTAAGGAAATATTTCTACCAACGATATCTAGTCCCAAACTAAACAAAGTTTTTTTTTTTCACTATGGGTACTATATAACATACACATAGGTACTTGCAGATACTTTTCTGTAAATTTAATATTATAGATAAATACTCTAACACTAGAAAAACACACAATATTTGCAATAGTGGGGATCGAAGGGACACCATCTGGCGCAAGAGTCAGGTTCACTGTCCACTGCGCCAATTGGTGCAATTGGGTGTGGCACATTTATAAGAATGAACTCTCTTCCCCAGCCCTCATTGCGGCCGCTTCTCTCCTGCGCTCCCCTCGCTATGGTCGGCTTCGACCGCGGCGCTCACAGCCAGGACCTGACCAAGAACATCCAGTACATCACCAACGACAAGGTCAAACTGACGCTGGATCCAAACACCATGAAGTGAGTGAACATATAGAAGTTATACATACGTATAGAATGTTCATACTCTCCGTTCCGTAGGTCGTAACCCGCCACTAGAAAGTAGCAAAAATCGTTAATGAACCACCTGTCGCCTCCTGGGTAGGAAGCAAGGGTATATTGGAGTTCCCCAGTAACACAGGGATACCGACTAAAAAACCCACGTTGCGCCAGCGCTGTCCCTTTTGCCGGGGACACGGAAACAATCTGCCGCGAACCCTGTCGCATCTGTGGCCTTCTCTGGCCTCCTCTCTCCTTGTTAAGACACCACGTTCAGCCACATAGTGCCGTGTCGCTGCGATGCACCCTTCTCAAGCCTTCCGCGGGGCAGCAGTTAGATAGAGTGACGACATGTGCGGGAAGTCGATGGATGCAGGTGGCTCAGGATCGTGCTACGTGTCAGCCTTTGTTCAGCAGTGGACTTTGACTAACAGGCTGACATGATGATGAGACTTGTCGTCAGTATTCCTAGTTTTCTTCATATCGAGTAAAGGTGGCGTTGCTAAGCTATCGGCTTCGGTGCTGGGGGTCGTGGGTTCGAATCCCACACGGGAAAAGTATTTGTGTGACCCCGCAAATGATTGTTTCGTATCTGGGCGAATCCGGATCGGATACGTCCGGTTTCCGAAACACTCATCATAGATGTCATCTAATCAGCTGTGAAATGGCTTTTCAAATGTTATTTTACTTGCCAAAAGGATGATTTAACTCTCTGAATTGATCAGGATGATCTTGTTAATGATCACAATGTATATTGTGCCGACCCCACCTAGATGGGGTAAGGACGAGAAGATGATGATAAAGTATCATTGTGAGAATTTACAGTAGTCCTTATCGGCATCTCACTGGGGTAGTGCAATCTTGCAATCGTGTATTCTTGCAATGGGACGCTTTTCCAGGAGGGCATCATAGAAGATCACCGTGAAGTTTATTACATATTATACTTTCGACCTCCTGACGATCTTAATTTTAGTAGAAATATTATACTTTCGCCATAATATATTCTTTTATTACTTAAGCCTAGCACCAAATATCGGTTACCTCAATCTACACGATCGATTCGAAACAATTGCTCAACATAATGCGCCGTCTCATTGTTCATTTGCCTCGACCCGTCCCCCGTTGGCTAATTGGACTGAGCTCCATGCAAATGCGCTCGTATTTGTGTCGCCTCAAATAGGTCTTCCGTTAAAACATCTAACAACTTGTGTATCTATCTAAGAGACCGATCGCTGACCAAACGCAGAACATTTCCTATCGAGGATGGAGACGAAAGTGTCATCATCATTTCAGCCTGTTCAAGTTCACTGCTGAAAGCCGTGATAGCTGTGTTCGGGCGCTCGCCTCTATCTAATATATAAAATTCTCGTGTCACGGTGTTCGTAATTGAACTCCTCCGAAACAACTCGACCGATTTTCATGAAATGGTGTGTGCATATCGGCCAGAGTGGAGAATCGGACAACATCTATTTTTCATCCCCCTAAATGTTAAGGGTGGACCACCCCAAACATTTTTTAATTTATGTGGCAAAACAACGTTTGCCGGGTCAGCTAGTTTCAATATACTCTATCAACAATCTTAAGGCCCATTTACACGATGCCATTTTCTTGAACATACAAGAGCAATAATTGAATGCAATAAATTGCGCGCAATAATTGTTTAGACCATTTGTTGTTTAGACCATGCAACTCATTTATTGCTTCAATTTAATTGTATACAACAGGCAAGAAACTGGCATCATGTAAATGGGCCTTTAGTCTAAATCCCGGTGCCAGCACCAATGATATTGTTAATTTTAAGTTCTCACTTATCACGTGGTCAGCGATGACGGAGAACGTCGTTAGGAAACATGAACACATTTACGAAATAATAAAAAAAATTTATGTTAAAATATGTGCTTCTGCCAATCCGTAGTGGAGTCGCGTGGTGAACTTGCCCAGCAGTGGGACATTTATAAGCCGTTACTTTACCTTTTTACCCACCTCAAGGAGAAAAGACTAATGAGCTATAGTTCTACAATAAGACCATAGTTAGCGTAACATCTCACTTAACATCAAGTGAACTGCCAGCTCGTTTGTAAACCTTTGAAATAAATTGAAAAAAACACAGTTTCAATATCAATACCAGATTTTCTTCTAAAAACTTCAAAGCATGTATACAAAATTACTTACAAATATGTTCTACATCAGCCGTCATTAAAACAGACACGATGCGTTGTCTGTCGCATTGCCTCGTCGTGGAGTTTAAATTACAATCTGATCGGGACAAAGTCCAGTTAGCTTCACGCACAATTCGTAGATAAGAAATGCATTTAATCGTTACTAATATCCACAGCTGAACATAGTTCAACATCAGACGATGAGTTCAGATCAGTTCGCGATATATAGTATGCCGAAGACATTTTTATGCCAATAACCTAATTTAACCGACATAGCTCAGAGGATTAGCAAGCTGAAGTGGCGATGGGCCGGCCATATAGCTCGTAGAACCGATAACCCTCGAGTGGCCCTCGTACTGGCCATCGCAGTGTAATTAGATGGAGTGACGACCTTTGTGCGGGAAGTCGATGGATGCAGGTGGCTCAGGATCGTATTCATAGTCGCTATTTACTCAAACAAGAGATGATGATGAACCTAATTTATATTTTTTTTAATTTCTTACTAGTCGCTAGTTATTTCCAAGTAAGCATTGCATATTCTTCGGAAATATATCTATGAACTATAGAAGTCCATTCACTTTTCTTTACGTATTATCGTGTTGTAATTTTTTAAGAGTTCCGTATCTACCTAAGACTCCGCTCTCTGTCCGTCTGTCGCCAGGCTGTATCCCATGAACCGTGATAGTTAGACGGTTGAAATTCACAGATGATGTGTTTCTGTTGCCTCTATGACAACAAATACCAAAAAATAGAATGAAAAAACTCGACTCGCACTTGTCCGCTTTTTTTATCTACACCCCTCAAAAACTTCTTGTGTCTTACCGCTTTCGACTGACTCAAATACGGCATGCTAAATAATTTCCGTACAATACAGAATTTACATAAAACAGTATAAATTTATTTATAAATATTTTGTTTTCTATATTTATAAGAGACAGCTATATGCATGTTAGAAGTATATAGAGTATTGTTCTGGTGTTTCTAAATATCGCATTTGTTTTTTTTTTAAATAAAGTTGCGTCAACCCATTTTGAATGAAAAAATCTAAATGAAATTTTTTTTGGCAAAGTTCTTTTGAAGTTCTTTTTCGTTCGGTGTGAACCCCGGCGCATCTGTGGCCTCCTCTCTCCGGGTGTTCAGACACTTCCTCTGGTCCTGCCACATTGTGCCGTGTCGGTACAATGGACACGGCACCACTCCCAAGCCCTCCGCGGAACAACAGCTAGATGTAGTGATGACCTGTGCGAATATGCGGGAAGTCGATGGATGCAGGTGGCTCAGGATCGTGCTTTCGAGTCAGTACCTGGGGGAGGCCTATGTTCAAAGATTAACAGGCTGAAACGATGATGATGATTGTTCTATCACAGTATTAATTATAACGGGCTATCCGTATAAAATTGCCGCAAATTGTTTTAAGACGTTCAAAAACGGTCCAAACAACTCTGCTTTGCCGTAAGACCAGCTCCGTGGCGCCATTGCATTGCTTAGTAGCAGCTTCGACCGTCCATATAAATTGGTTCGTGTTAAAGCTGGACTTTCCTCCAGATTGGACAAGCGTCGCGGGCGGCCGATATGCGTGATGATAACCTGGCTGCTGGCGCGCCAGAAGCACGTGATGAAGTACGCCTCCCTCTACCTGGAGAGGGGCTTCGACGTGGTCTCCGTCTCCTGCACACCCTGGCAGCTAATGTGGCCCATGAAGGGCTCCCAGGTTCGTTCTCCTTCAGTGTCATATACCTTTAGTTTTTTACATTCATGCCTCATCTTTGATTTCAATGGAGAATGTTGCTTTCGGTGTCATCTGTTGATTTCAATGGAGAATTTTGCTTTCGAGGCGACATGATCGTAAGCGTTCACAGCTTATGGTCATCCGAAATCACTGGATTTACAAACTGGTGCTCTATCATAGTAAATAGATTTGACAGCTAAGATGTTTTATAATAATTCTGTACTAATAAACGGCACAAACTACTGAACCGATCGGAATAATAGTTATACCATAATAAGATGCAGCGTATTTCGCGAGAAGGTTTTAGTATATGATATGTTGGTGATTACTTATCCGTAACTTTTTTTTACTTCTAGAAGATGGTATGACCCACCGGTCATTCTAGAAGTAATGTCCATAATGGTGGTGACCATTAGGGACAGCTAGTAATTAATAATTAAGAACACATTTTTACACAACGTTCTCTAGTCCAAAACTAAGCAACGCTTGTGCTATGGGTACTAGATAACTGATGAACATACTTTTTTTGTAAATAAATACATAGTATACCTCAGTATATCTCACAATATTTTTCCAGTAGAATCGAACCCACACCCGCTGACAAGAGGAAGGTTCACTACCCACTATGCCAATCGTATCGTTTATATAACTACAATGCGTCGCGCACCCTGTTTTAGGGAGATTAAAGTGACGCATTAGCCCCACAGTCGCATGGTCACGTACCATTCGCTCAGTTATCCATCTCTGTCGTGCAACAGGGATGGCGTATATGGCTTTAATGTTACATCTCTTTCCTCGCGCATACACGCCATTATTAGCGCAATGACGTCGGCGAACATGTCTATGCTATAGATAAACAATGTCATTATTACAGACTATAGTATTGACATTGTTTGGCAGAGCCATGCTGTTGACGAATAGACAGTGAGTACGGCGGCCTAAGGTATGTCCGGTGAGGTCTAAACCGTTTTAAATTTTTGGGTATCGATCGTCTCGCCGATCGAAAAAAAATCAATTAATTATACCGCGTGTAAGATTAAGAAAGCGACTGGCCGTTAAAAAAATTCTTAGGGACGCCACTAAAAAAAAACAAATTCGCAACTTCTTTACACGCCAAAATACACACGGACGTGTTATGCCAAACGCGCCGAGCGCGCCATGTAGTAACTACAAAAACCTTTATGTATTGTGAGGTCCGTACTTTACGTATCAAAAGGCGACATGACATTTGGCCGCCTCTCGAACGAAAAACAACAAGAAACTTTGAGGGTCAGGGCGAAGGCGCTCACGGTAATAATCCCCGATAAGATGTGGTAGGGCCATGCAAGATTTCGCTGTGGCACGAATGGCAAGTCCGTCCGGGGACGTACCACGACCTCACAGAAGACCTATGTAAAATGTGGAAGTGTTATACTTCTGCTTTTCATCTGGTGAGTGAGTTAGCCGGGGTCCGCTTTCTTAAAAGGTGTCAACGCTGGAACACTGCAGGTGTTGCAAATGCCAATGGGCGGCGGTTATCACTTGACGTCAAGTGAACCGCCAGCTTGCTTGCTTCCTTCACAAATAAAAAAAAGAAATAGTACGTGGAGTCCCTCCGCGCGTAAGAAGTGAAAAAAAAAGTTCACCCTCGCTCTGTCTCTTCCTATTCCTCCTCCCCAGTAGCGTTGTACGTTTAACGCAACATTGCTTTCATACCCCCTTCATGATAGCGTTAAACGTTTAACGCAACCTTAAAAGTTTCACTTCAACTAATTTTGAACAAAAAAAACCGACTTCAAACAGGAAACTAATAAAAACATTGTAACACCTATAACATTTGAGGATTGCCCTCAATTTCTCTGGGATGCCATCATCAGATGCGGGTTTCCTTATCATCGTACCACCCTTGATCCCAAATCTCCTTTCCAATAAAAAAAAGAATCATCAAAATTGGTTCATAAACGCATAAGTTATCCGCCAACACACATAAAAAAAATAAAAATGTATAGGGTCGAATTGAGAAACCTTCTTTTTGAAGTCCGTACTCAATTTCAGCTAGTGGCGGGCGACCTGATAAAGCTGATGTCGGCTAACGAGAGCGACCAGCCGATGGTCGTCCACGGCTTCTCCGTGGGCGGCTACATATGGGGCGAGGTCTGCGCCAAGGCGATGGAGAACAGGGATGCGTAAGTGGACGCATACCTGCGATGACTTTGATCCGCGCTTTGGTTTAGGGTCGCCAAACATACTTTATAATAAACGTATTTTACTTTATTTTTGGTAAATATACTTTATAGTTTTGTAGAAAAATGTGCACACCAGCAGCCATAGCAGCAGCCTCGGTGTATATCGGCGTAAAGTGGAAATGTGACAAATACTTTCGCGTTTCGTCTGGTGAGTGAGGTAGCCCGATCCCAATTTTCAAAAGGTTGTCAACGCATCTGTAACCCTCGGGTGTAGCAGATGCCCATGGGCGGCGGCATTCACTTAACATCAGGTGAACCGCCTGCTCGCTTGGCAACTTTCGCAAAAAAAAAAAAAACTTGCATCGATACTTCCAAGTTAAAACACATTTTTTCCCTAAAAAATTTTGTCACTTCTAAAACTAGAATCTTTGTCTGTGTGTGCTTCTATATGTTTTCCATAAATTTTCATCATAATAAAAGCTAGAAGCATACAAAAATATATCCTCAAAAGATAAAATAAATAAAATTTTGAAAGATACTTTTTTTTTCTTCCATAATAAACTTTCTTTTTTCTTCACTTGAAAAATGCGATACTTTATTTTTTCCCAAAAACAGTTGGCACCCCTAATTTGGATGCGCAATAATTAACTGTATGTTGGAGGGATACGATAACTTTAACATTAGCTTGCAATAGCTTGGATGCAGTAATTAACTGTGGTAGAGTCACGCAACGGTCTTGGCTGCGCGGATGGGCAGGTCCGTCTGGCGAAGTACCACGACCATACAGAAGACCGTGAGCTAACCGGTATAGGGATGCCGAAAAAATATCGATATATCGATATTTTTTATTAAATATATCGATATTTTTAGCGTACCTAAAAAGGGGCCCACGTTATTAAAGGTGGCACTGGCAACGCATATGCGATACGGGTGTTGCAAACGTCCACACGAGGTGTTGTTAATTGCTTGTAGCTGGTGTTGCAACTGTCAATGGGCGGCGGTAATCACTTAACATCAGGTGTAACGCCAACTCGACATATTACGTTAAGAAAGTATGGTTTCTCCCTGGCAGATACGAACCGGTGATGGAGAGGGTGTCCGCCCAGGTGTGGGACTCGGCTGCGGACATCTCGGAGATCACAATCGGCGTGCCCATCGCCGTCTTCCCCAAGAACAAGATCATGCAGAAGACCCTCAAGGCGTACATGGAGTGAGTATCCAGCGATCGTCGGCTTGGACCCAGCAAAGGACCCTGATTATAACGTCAGGTAAAGCCAGAACCGTGACAAAAGGCGCCACATAACTATTTTATATTCGGAGTCTGAACACTGGCCAGTTCTTGGGTAAAAAAATAAAAAAGTATGTGTACTTATGTACGCGCGTAAGAACATTAGCGTAGTTAAAGAAAAAAATACTAAAAAATTTATCCCGTAGGCCGTAGTACTCTTTGTTTGTGAAAAAACACATTAAATGCAATTCTTAACGGTTTAATTCAATGACTTGGAATTATAAAGCGAGCTATACTTATATTAGGAATCCCAATTTATTAGGAAAGTTCACTTATTTCTTATATATTTCACCACAGATGTGAGGTACAATATGATATATGGTGTCTTACGAAAGAGAGCCAAGCAAATGGTCAAACTGTATAAAATTCCGAAACATTCACAAATAAAATATAGCCTTCATACGCAACCGCATCTCATATAGTCATCGGACTTTCACATTATGCATGTGACACTTTTCCCTCTGGCTAGTCAAAATACTTGGCAATTTTAGAGAATCCCTTAAGGTAATGTAAAGTGGGGAATTTTTGTCAATTGTTTTCTGCAAGTAAAAGCAGTATGGCTTGCTTTTAACCGACTTCAAAAGGAGGGTCCCAATTCTAATGGTATATTTTTATGTATTTCGTGATTATTCTTTAGGTTGATGCGGAATAGTTGCCATCTGGTCCCATAAAGATTTAACATAGCTTCGCCCTGTAGTTTCAACTCAACTTTTTTACGTGACTACTTATGTTTATACGTAACGACCATTAGGAAATGCAATAAATAAATAAATATTTGCAACAAATAAAAATTTTACCCTCTCTGCATTTTCGTATGCGATTTAAATGGGGCTGTCACTAATTTTGTCTGATTTATATACACGCCTTTAAATGTTACAACACCTTTCTGTAACAACCTGTATATGGTCATGGTAATAATCTTAGTACAGTCATTAATTTACTAAGCACAATACTATTATTTTAAACTAGTATTATTATTATAAACTTTAAAGTGTTCACATAAAAAATATAAATGGATGTTATTTTCAAAACCTAGTCATTCTCTAGGTCAGATGTTATTTGGACACGAAAATCTTCATTAAAATCGGTAATGTTTGAGTGTTTGAAAAGAAAGGAAATGAAATTAATCTTATCAAAACAAAACAAATAAATATCGCTAATGACTTCGCATGGCTTCGTTCATTTGGTTACCGCGTGTTATATAGTTTTTATCATACGAATTTATTACCGCTGAATAAGGTTGCGATTGGCTTGCGTAAATTACTCCATTATGGATAACAATAACGTAATCGTATAATCTCTGTCTGGCTATATTGTTGGATTTGACAAAAATAGAATTCATATATCGAGCTATTACGGAATCTTTTATGAAGAAGATAAATAAACAAGGTCAAGAATACCTGATAATCTCAATTAAATCAAAAAAGCAGATATTATTAGTATTTCTTTATACTTTATTTTGTATTATAAAAAAGTAAAAATTACAAACAAATGTACAAGGAAGTTGCAGTCTTATGGCTCTCAAAGCGATTTCTTCCAGATAACGACTTTGAGAAGAATTTTTAATTTTTGCGAAACACATAAAGAAGAGAGCAGAGGGAATTTGTACATGAATCAGTAATAAATACAGGATAAAGGCATTTCTATATCAATGAAATGGGCTAAATTTTCTGGAAAAAAAAGGAAAACATTCAGAGTTCCAAGTCAACAAGCTTTCTCTAGGTTTTTATAAGAAAGAAGAGACAGCTTGTCGTATGTGTAGGGGCAAAGAATTCCACAAACGCACAGCTGTCACTGTAAAAGATTTCTTGAAGAAAAAAAAGGAATGTACAGAGTAGTTTTGAGGAGGAGATTGACAGAAGAACGAAGGAACCTTTTATAGGAGATGGTAACATACTCAAGGCGATCTCTTAAGTATTTAGGAGTAGAGGGATTAAACAGCACGCTGTACAAAGCAGAGAGAATATGGGTATTCCTGCGAAAGCGGATTAGAAACCACGTGAGCTGTGCTGTGTACGAAAATTACTGTACCTTATGCCTCACATATATTTTGCAAATTAAATATATATTTTAACATAGTATAAAATAATGTTGAACAAAAAAAAAACCGACTTCAAACAGGAAACTAAAAGCATTGTGAACACCTATACGGTCGAATTGAGAAACCTCCTCCTTTTTTGAAGTCGGTTAACAAAGTGGTCCTGCTTTCTGTCTGTCCCTATGAATGCTTAGATCTTTAAAACTACGCAACGGACCCTGATGCGGTTTTTTTTTTTACTAGATAGAGTGATTCAAGTATGTTTTATATGTATAATACATTGTACCCGTGCGAAGCCGTGTTAGAAGTTCGCTAATATCTTATATATAAAATTCTCGTGTCACAATGTTAGTTACCTTACTCCTCCGAAAAGGCATTACTGATTTTTACCAGATTTTATATGCATATTCAGTAGGTCTGAGAATCGGCTACTATATATTTTTCATACCTCTAAGTGATAAGGGTTGTTCACCCTTAACTTATTTTTTAATTTTTGGACAAAATTTTTTGTTTTTATTTTTTTATGACACAGCATACAAAAATAAATGCAATCCTAAATTTTCACACCTCTACGCAGACGTAGTCGCCGGCAGCAGCTAGTATTTATACAGCGTGTCGTTACCATCGCGACAATAAATGAACACACGTCTAACGCTGCTTGCAAATAATCATAAAAAAATATTAACGGTAAACAAAATCCATAATTAAAAAAAAAAATTTTCACACAAACTAATTAAGTAAAAAAGAAACAAAATTTGTAACACCAATACAACTCGCGCCACAGCGTCGCATTACAAGCCTCTCCTTCTAACAGTATGTTTTGTTTCTTTTAAATTCATTCAACCCATTCATATGCTTTGTGACCTTTACAAATGAACTTTACGTTACAGTTTTATACGTAAGGATGTTCTAAAATTGTTTGTTCTGTAAATATTCATGTTTAAAGAATGTAAATGTTTAATACAATTTTAAAAAGTTGTCCTCTATATGTGTGTTCATTTATCGTCGCGATGGTAACGACACGCTGTATATTATAACATTTCAGATACCACATGCGCACGTTCCACGAAGCGGCCACCGCCCACTACATCCGCTCATCGCAGCTGTTCCACACCAACCTGTGCCGGGCGCCGGCCCTGTTCCTCCTCTCCAGCTCGGACCCGGTGGGCGCGGAGCGAAGCAACAGAGCGGTCTACGACGCCTGGCGCAAGATGGGCGTCGAGGTGCGTGCGAGTTCTGGTGTCGGGGGGAAATTTTTGAAAGATTAAAACAGAGAAGACAGGGTATCTGTCAAATGTCTCAATGAAATCTTAAGTGCAGAGATTGGCACTATAAAAAATTTTAACTTCTAAATTAAAAATGTTTAGAATAAAGAGAAATACAATTTATACGCACCAATTATTATGTTTCCAGTCAGCATTAGATCACTAATACTATTTATTTATTAGGTTTCCCAGTAGTGTTTTACAGTTTATTAGTGTTACATTAAGATTTACAATATTATTCTAAACAGATAAATATTACAGCTTAATGTACATTAACAAGACGCAAACACAGCATGCTTAAAATTAAAAAAATAATAATGAGAGTCGGTAAACTTTAAATTGTATTGTAACAGTAAGCATGTTTTTGGCGTTCGCAGTGCACATGGCAATGCTGGGAGCGGTCTGGTCACGTGCAGCATCTGACCAAGCACCGGGAGGAGTATATCCATCTCCTGGATGACCACCTCCGTCGCCACTCGCTCTCCGCCCGCGAGGAGGCTTCTGAACGGCGCAGCAGTTCTCTCCACCTCTGAGGTCAACGACCCTAAGACTGGGGCCAAGGTCGCCCGAAGGTCACACCTGCGCGCCGCGATAGCCGACCAGCCTTTAAGCTCCCTATAACGCGTAGGTCTGAAGCCCGATTTACACTGGTCAAGTGTATAGTGAAGTAGATAAGTACAGTAAGTATAGCGATGTAAACCATCGGACAGTAGCAAGTCAACTTGGCTCGCAAGCTGCCTTGCAACTGGACCCAAATAGAATCGCTCTCTATTTTTCGGTGCAAGAACACCCCTCACTTAACGATGCGGGGCACTTGTCATAGTGTAAACAGTCTTATTAGTACAGTAACCGCAACAGGCAACAAAATTGCATGTATTGCTCGTCCATTTCGACTGTGAAATGCCACTTGACTTGCTGTAGTGTAAACAGCCACTTGTTCTGTGCCCTCCACTGGCCACTGTCCTCGACTAATGTAAATCGGGCTTAAGACTGGGGCCAAGGTCGCCCGAAGGTCACGCCTGTACTTACGATAGCCGACCTGACTTCAAGTTCCCTATACCATGTAGATCTAAGTGGTAGGACACATATGTCATTTATTAATAACATCGTTATGAACTGTCAAATAAATATGAAATATAATTTACAAATATACCTCACTGAACTGTGTCTATTTTGCAACAATTGCTACACAATCAATACAATTATATGTTAATTAATAAACAAAATGTGGCCGAGTAGTCTCTTACATTGCGTTTAGTATGGTAGAGCTATGCAGTAGTTTCCTCCCTTGCGCATATGGACAGGACCTCACCAAAGGAGATACTCACAGAAGACCAAAGTCAACTTTAAAGTACTGCAGCATATGGGGCCGAAGTAATCACTTAACTTAATACTTTCGCGTTTCGTCTGGTGAGTGAGGTAGCCGGAGCCCAATTTCCAAAAAGGTTGTCAACGCATCTACAAACCCTCGGGTGTAGCAGATGTCTATGGGCGGTGGTATTCATCAGGTGAACCATCTGCTCGTTTGGCTACTTTTCACATAAAAAAAAAAAAAAACATCAATGGAGACGCGGTTCTCTTTGCAACCCTTTCACATAAAATAGAACTGTCGATATGAAGATAATTCTTTGAGAAATTCCAGTGATATCGTCAAGTTCGTCTTGATCGTTCATATAAATATTATGTTATTGCTGAGGAATCGATATATGATACTTTTAGTGGTAAAATTAATAAAACTACATGTCAATAAAGATTTAAACTTGTTTATGCACTAATAATTCAGCTCCGACCAAGAAAAAACGTTATATAGAGCGGGAATTTTATTTTCGACAATATTTTTGGATACATATTGGGAATATATATCATGTAAACTGTTTTGAAACATTCTTACGAAACTATATTTCGTAAGGATATTATTTTCAGGGTGACGTGGCATAATAATAATCATGAAAATTTCGACTGAAATAGGTAACATGAAAATGTTGAAACGAATTTATTGGTATTTGAAAGTTATGACTTCTTTTGAAATCATTTTTGAAAGAGTTTAGTTGTCTTATGTTATTTAGTTTAATTTTAACTAGTTCCTCTATGGCATAGGCATTATGAGGCGAGTTTGTATTAGTTTAAAACATAGTTTTACTGAAACATGTGTAATGTAGGCAGTAGTCTCAACAACAATTTGTACTATTAACTTTGCAGGTATTGGTATTTTGGGATATTTTATAATAATAAATTTGTTGAAAACAATAAAAATTAACATTTTTAGGAAAATATTAGCACCCTTGAAACTTATAAGTAATACTTTCACGTAAAATTTTATTATTATTTTCAATATGTTGGGCGTGAATTGTCTACACCGTATCTTTGTATATTGTAGTTAATTTTTTTAATAAATCCTTTATACCTAATGTTGTTTTGTTTGTTATATATTTAATTTGCGAACATGCATCTAGAGAAATATCTATTAATACGATATTCCTTTCGATTGATTGATTGATTCGAATTATTCGATTTCCTATTGATTCGGTACTTGTCAATCGCTGGAAAACGATTATACAGCAATTTTGATGTATAAACTATTTTGTTTTTCATTTTACTGATCTACAAAATAATAACTTTATTCAACCTATTTTGTTGAACTTTCACCTCATTAAATAACGGGGAAAACTTGAGTAAATAATTTGGAGCAGGCATCCCTAAACATGCACACCGTGACAGTTTGTTTACAATAAGAACACGAGCGTCACTCACACATGTCACCCAATCGGAGACAGTTTTAGCGCGTTATTTGATAGGCATTGCGCCATCTACTGTGTTAAATACAGGGAGATTTTTTTAAAGGTGCCCAAATTTACACAGGAGGTCAGATTCCGTAGTATAATCGTTTATTGAAATAGAAACATACATCTTTTTTCCAAATAATTCCATTACCATTCCATTCCCTAAAAAACAGAACTTTTTGACAACGCGGTAGTCATTCATAAATACCTAAATTATACTCTTCACGCACACAAACGAACTTGTGTGCGTGTCAGTAATGAATGATAGCGCATAAAATAAATGAGTTGCGTATAAATCACGCGCTTTTTGAGTTAAGTTCAAATTAATGTAATTAATTACTTACGAGTGATTTAAAATATTTATCATTTTTTATAATTCATTATTTATGTCTAGAACTTAAGTAAAGTAAAGTAAAGTAACAGCCTATACATGTCCCACTGCTGGGCAAAGGCCTCCTCTATACAGAGGGTATCAGGGCATAGTCCACCACGCGGCCCCACTGCGGATTGGCGGACTTCACATATCTTCGAAATACATTTTTTTTTGTTATTATTTCGAAAATATGCAGGTTTCCTCACGATGTTTTCCTTCACCGCGGAGCACGTGATAATTCAGCACTTAAAGTTAAAAACTTCATTGGTGCCGGCACCGGGGATCGAACTCAGGTTGCTCGAGTATATATTGAATTAAAGGCGAGCGCCCGGACACTGAGCTATCACGGTCTAGAACTTAATGAAAAAAAATGGACACACTTAGAAAAGCCTCCCTGTATATGCTGAGATTGACCATTCAAGATATGCTCCGTGGATTTTCTCAAAACAAGAATGTTCTTCACGAAAGTGAGGGTTCTTCACCTTCTGGTCGTGAAACAGCGAAATCTGATAATTTCTCTCCTTAAATAAACCATTTAAAAGCTTCTCAATTTGTTTTAGTTTTCAGAGACAACTGTCACTGACAAAAAGTTCAAATGAATGTAATTAATTACTTACGAGTAGTGTCAGACCGAAGGTTCGGTTTCGGCGGCCAACCTGCGGAAACTAGGACCGAAACCGAAACTGTATTCGGGAGTTCTTGGGCAATGATCGGTGACGTTCGACGCGTTAAATTCTTCCTTGTATCTTGTATTAACTGATGTTTTAGCTTTCAGTCCCGAGACTATCAAAGCTTCATCTGACGCAGAACCGGTGGGCTAGCCAGAACCCACGGGTTTGGGCCCTCCGCTGTGGGTAGGGCCGCGCATGTGCTCATGCGTGCGTTTAACTATGGTGTGTCATCTAAGGGCCATCGAGGCCGTGGTTCGGACCGAAACCCCGATGGCCGTCGACTGTGCAATTAGCTAATCGGTGGCTGGGGGCGGTGAGAACCGCCCCGGAACGCGGGCGTTTAATTCTGTTCAAGCGAGTAAGCAACGAAGACAATTGATGGGTCGTTGAAGGTTTTTTCGTTAACACACCGTTAACTATACACACCGGCACAATTAGCGGAACAGAAAAAAAAGTGAGACTATGAGATAATAACGCATATATTTGGCGAAAATGTAATTAGACACAAAATAACAAATTGATTAACATCTTTTAACAACGACTTTGAAAAGTCTTCGTTATTTTTTATTGAAAAATAAAGAAATTTGAAATAAGTGAAATTTTTAGATGATTATGAACCATCACAAAAAATAAAAAAAGTAAGCATTAAATGATTTAACAATAAAATTAAAGCAAAATTAATAACGAGTGTTTCCCCCTCTTGCTCTGATTACGGTTTCCATTCGTCTGGGCATGCTACAGATTATGTTATCGATGATTTCTTGAGGCAACCGCCCCCACTCCTCAAGTAATGCGTTTCCAAGTTCATTCAGATTGTTGGGGGGTGGCATTCTGGATTTAACCCTTCTTTTTAGCAAGTCCCAGACATGCTCTATCGGATTCATATCGGGGGAATTTGCTGGCCACTGCATCACCGGTATAGCTACGTGGCTCAGATATGCCTGTACCGATTGTGCACTATGAGCACGAGCATTATCTTGCATTAGAATAAAGTGGTCATCAATAAATGGGGCAAATGGTACAACATGTTCTTCTAAAATGTCTCTGATGTATCGATCTGCTGTCATGGTCCCTCCTGTGACTATCACTAACTCCGTGCGAGCTCCCAAACATATCCCTCCCCAAACCGTAATCGAGCCGCCACCATAAGCCACTGTGTGTTCAAAATTAGACTGTATGTGGCGTTCTCCTTTGCGTCTCCATATTCGCTGTCTCCCATCGATCTGTTTTAAAAGAACTCTGCACTCATCAGTAAAGAGAACCTGCTGCCATTCGTTCAAATCCCAATGACGATGTTCTCGCGCATAGCTTAATCGGTTTACGCGGTGACGTCTCTCAAGTTTTGGGCCTTTGGCAGGTATATACGACCCTAAACCAACTTCTTCAAATCTCCTGCGAACTGTACGCTCACTTACTCGTACTCCTCGAACGTCTTCCAGTTCATTTCGAGCTTGTACAGCCGTTAATCGCGTATTCCTACGAACTCCAAGTTGTAAAAAACTGTCATCTCGCCTCGATGTACATCTTTTTCTACCTTGACCCCTCCTCCTCACAAGAGAATTAGACGATCTGTACCGCTGGATGCTGCGATGAATCGTTGATACTGGTCGACGAAGCCTTGAGGCAATCGACCTGTAGGTATGGCCATTTCTCCTCATTTCATCAGCCCTAATGATTTCCAGTGATATTAAGTCAGGCATAATAAA